CTTTGCTTTTGACCTGTAAAAGCTAACCAGCAAACAAAAACACGGCGTTGTTTACAATGAGCGCATGTCTAAACAAACATCCTTTTTTATATACTTAGGTAGAAGTATCACGATGGACAGTGCATACAACTGTTTGGCAAACAATATCAAGCAATATTTTAGATTCAGAATCAACATACCATGACATAACAGAAACATATATATTAAATTGTATATATTCATATTTGCCGCTATTCACGATACATTTATTTTACCGTCACTGTTTAAAACTACTCTGAACTACTTGTATGTATAGATCATCTTATTTGTAAACAGTAGGCAGACGTATTATATATCACAGTTACAAAAGTCTGCTGAAATCTTCTATTTCTTTATTATGTAAAATGCTGTCAACATGAATAAATGCCAATTATTTCATAACACTCCAAATATAGTTGTCATAATGAACATAGTTTTAAAGTATATTTGTCACATGCAATAATACTGTCCGGTATTATTAGCAATATTTTCAATATCAACCACATATTGTGAGAATCCAGTAAAAAGGAACTGAGTAAAGTAGTGGTAAAATCTATCCATATATACAAAAGTGTATATTTTTGGATATACCATATATACAAAATTGTATATTTTTGGATATACCATACATACAAATTTAATATTTTGTATATATTGGAATTTTCCCTTGTGATACTTTCACTGGCCACTGACAAAGATTGGCAGTATTAGAATAAGAAACTAAATTAAATCCAGTATGACGTGATGATGTGTAAGCATACAGAAAACTAAGAGAGCCCAACTTACTTCAGTTTCTGTACCGTACTTGCGCTTACCTCCTTTTGCATCCTGCGTATCATTCAACCTGTCGGATCGACTTGTCCCGGGTGGTTAATTATCTTAACATCACGACTGTAAAACAAAGTTACTTTCTTACTTACTTACTTTGGAGATTTAACGTGCGCTTTCCGACTGATGCGTATTTCGCACACGGGCCCGGCCAGGCCTTTTAATGTGTTTCCAAAAGGTGCGAAAGTGGTGTGTGCAACCCAAGAGGGGGCTTTAGGGGTTGCTTATATAAAAAAAGTTGCTAGATATATAGAGAACTTTAATTTAATTTTCGTTAAATTTTCTTGAGAAGATACAGTGAAAGTACTAGTGCTCGACTTTAACAGACCAGTTTTTTTTTAGTTATCGTGCAACATTAAGTGTTAATATAGGTAGATATAATAATAGTCATGTTGAGAATGTAGAGGGAAAAGGGCTTCACTTTGAACTCTTGGTTTCCTTTAAATGCGATAAACTGTGACATTATAAAGTGGTACATAGGTAGATATAACACTAATCTATGGATATAAACACATTTGAAGATAGATCTGTGTGTTTAAAGTTGATTTTGACAGCCCGGGCCAAGTCGGACCGAACACTTCTGACATAGATTTTCTTAAGAAAATACAGTAAAAATTCTTCACTTTGAGCCCCTTGTTTTCTTTAAATACGATGTACCGTGACATAATAAAGTGGTATATAGGTAGATATAACACTAATCCAAAGAAGTAAACACATTTGATGATACATCTGGTGTGTTTAAAGTTGATTTTGACAGCCCGGGCCAAGTCGGACCCAACACAAGCCAAACACTTCTGATAGAGACTATGTTGAGAATGTAGAGGGAAAAGAGCTTCACTTTGAGCATCTTGTTTTCTTTAATTACAGCGATCTGAGACACTATGAAGTGGTATTTAGGTGCATATAATACTTATCTATAGATGTGAATCCATTTGATGATACATCTGTGAGGTTTAAGTTGATTTTGACAGCCCGGGGCAAGTCGGACCGAACACTTCTGACATAGATTTTCTTAAGAATATACAGTAAAAATGCTTCACTTTGAGCACCTTGTTTTCTTTAAGTACAGCGTTCTGAGACACTATAAAGTGGTATTTAGGTAGATATAACACTAGTCTATAGATGTGAACACATTTAAAGATAGATCTGTGAGGTTTAAGTTGATTTTGACAGCTCGGGCCAAGTCGGACCGAACACTTCTGGCATAGATTTTCTTAAGAAAAAACGGTGAAAATGCTTCACTTTGAGCCCCTTGTTTTCTTTAAATACGATGTACCGTGACATTATAAAGTGGTATATAGGTAGATATAACACTAATCTACAGATGTAAACACATTTGAATATACATATGTGTGTTTAAAGTTGATTTTGACAGCCCGGGCCAAGTCGGACCCAACACAAGCCAAACACTTCTGATTAGCGACTATGTTGAGAATGTAGAGGGAAAAGGGCTTCACTTTGAGCACCTTGGTTTCTTTAATTACAGCGATCTGAGACACTATAAAGTGGTATTTAGGTGGATATAACACTAATCTATAGATGTGAGTCCATTTGATGATACATCTGTGAGGTTTAAGATGATTTTGACAGCCCGGGCCAAGTCAGACCGAACACTTCTGACATAGATTTTCTTAAAAAAACCCAGTAAAAATGCTTCACTTTGAGCCCCTTCTTTTCTTTAAATACGATGTACCGTGACATTATAAAGTTGTATATAGGTAGATATAACACTAATCTATAGATGTAAACACATTTGAAGATACGTCTGTGTGTTTAAAGTTGATTTTGACCACCCGGGCCAAGTCGGACCCAACACAAGCCAAATGTAGAGGGAAAAGGGCTTCACTTTTGAGAACCGTGTTTGCTACAGCAATATGAGACACTAAAGAGGTATATAGGTAGATATGATATTATAATTAGTCTATAGATGTAAAGTATGTGTTGTAATTTTAGAAGCGCTTTGACAGTTATTAACACGTGTCGTGTCAGTCCTATGACATTCGCGAATATCCACTTGCAGAAATCCTGTGTTGGTTTAACATGAATTAGTAAAGGTTAATTAGGTATGCCAAACTCGTTAATTAATGAAAGAAGTGTAGTTAAAACACTGTCATTTCGAATTCCTGCCCAGGACATCACACCCCTGCATGCTAAGGTCGGTGAGAAACCTTCTCATCAAATTAAAGACACAGTCAAGACACTGACTTTTCGGTATGAACTCTCGGTATGTAAACTAGTGTCCAAAAGAAACGATACCACCTGTTTGCAACGACATAAAAGAAAAACTAAACAATGCAGAAGTTTAGGATTGGTGTTATGCTTTTGAGAAATCCTTTCACAACCTCTGTACAAAAATTTCATTTCAATAAAATCTGTACAACCAATATGACAAGCCTTTAAAGATGGGTGGGGTCGAAAAATGAACATTTCGTTAGAGCACTGATCACAGAAACAACGGGAAATGTCACACCACACGTCTCAAAGTCAAGTCAGTAGCGGGTATGTCCACCGTGTGCATCAATACATGCCAGAACACGCCTACGGACTGATGACGTCAAACGTCTGATGACGTTGGGAGTGATGCGTTGCCATTCCTCGAGGAGACATCGTTCCAAGTCCTGGACGTTGACTGGAGGCACACGGCGACGTCGGATTTGCCGATCGAGGTGGTCCCATAAGTGCTCGATGGGATTCATGTCCGGTGAACATGCGGGCCATGGCAAAACCTGTACGTTGGCGTTGGCAAGGAAGTTCTGTGTCAATCTTGCCTTGTGTGTGGCCTTGCATTGTCATGTTGGAAAAGGAGTCCACGAGGCTGTTGCTGAATAAAGGGCACCACAACAGGCCGTAGGATGTCATCAAGATAACGCTGTGCATTCAGGTTTCCACGAATTACGACAAGCATCGTTTTGACGTCACCACATATGCCACCCCAAACCATTAACCCTCCACCTCCAAACGGCCGGACCTGTTGGATACAGTAAGGCGCCAAACGTTCACTAAATCGTCGGTATACAAGCTGCCGTCCATCGTTTCTGAAGATGAGGAATCTGCTCTCATCAGAGAACATAACACGTGCCCAGTCCCGCCGTTGCCAACGTCGAACTCGCCTGGCCCAGATCAGTCTGTTGTTCCGGTGTCGAGGCGTCAGGAGCGGTCCGCGGTAGGGATGACGTGGCCGGATACCATACTGCCGTAGTCTCCTGTAGACGGTCTGTCGACTGATCCTGTGTCCCAGTGCTGTAGCCGCCGTGGACGTCGCTGTTACGGTGCGGTTCCTCGGGTGTAATGCCCGGATGTAACGGTCTTCACGGGGCGTGGTTACTCGTGGTCTTCCACTCCTGGGCCTGTCTGACGTCTGACCTGTCTGACGTAACCGCTGCATCAACCTGGTGATAGTGATGCGTGCGCAGCCCAACCTTCTGGCGACGTCGACGTGTGACGCTCCTTGTTGGAGCATTCCAACGGCTCTCTCTCTCTCGATGGCTGTCAAACGTGGCATATCTTGTGTTCTTTTTGTTGCTGTGATATCAACGTGTCTGATCAGCCGTTTTATACAGTTTTTCTGCACGTGCAGAACATGCTAGAGAGGGAAATGTCACTTTCACGAAATTGACGTTTTTTCAAGGAAGTGATCACGTGTTCCCGGTATTTTTTATCGACTATGCTGTGTTTGGGATGTGCAATACGAATTGGCATGTTTTCATACTTGACAATTCACTAAGTAAAAAACAATTTTGAAAATAAGTTGGTATCGTTTCTTTTGGACACTAGTTTAGCTCTAATTACCAGTTTATTACATTGCTGAAGATACATTTTGATTCAAACTCAATTAAATGAGCAAAACTATCCGTTTCTGGACATTTGAGATCTGCTTAGATATGCACGTTTCGTTTTGTTATTCTGCAATCCATTTTTAGTATTACCCGCTGGCCCGGCCCGGCCCGACTTTTCTTGGCCCGACTTTTAGGCAATCCCCTCCAACTGTATGATGTGGAGGGAGTGTCGAGGATATCCTATATAGATGTGGTCAATGTTCGTTGTTATATTATTCGTTAAACACATGAGCATGTGCGACTGCCCACAGAAAAACACGTAAATATGTATATATTTATAGATGATAATATTTAGGGGGTGGGGGCGGGGTTTCACGTAAGGTGGTATTAATGGTGAGTTTCATATAATATGTGTATTGGGGTGGGGAGTGGGCACTTTCATGTAAGGTGGTAAATCAGAATAATCCACTCATGTAGGATATGACTGAAACCATGCCAATACAACATCAAACTTTCACTTGCCAACTCATATATATCTTTAACCTAACATTGCCATGATCTCCTGTTTACAACAAGCTTCACGCACACAGACACTGAAGACTGTTTGATATATTTATGAATGTAATAAAATGTCCTTGTAGTTGTACATTGTGAGTGTCAGCCACGTCGAGGCACCAACCGTTCCTTGGGGACATAAGGGTAGGGGAACTTGACCACCACGTGGACATGGCCAGTTCGGGTGTGGACCTGGGTAGTTCAGACGAGGAAGATTCTACAATCCGTGGCAGATCAGATCTACGCGAGGAGGAGCCTGGAGACAACGCGGCCATTGCCAGGCCGACTGAGCATGGACCTAACCCTGGAGACAACACGGCCATTGCCAGGCCGACTGAGCATGGACCTGGCCCTGGAGACAACACGGCCATTGCCAGGCCGACTGAGCGACAACTTGTCCCTGGAGACCACACGGAAATTGCTGAAGCAGGGAGTCAATCTTTCGTCTCCAGGCCAAGGCGTGGTATGTGTCCATATGTAATCATTCTTCATCCTGTATCTGTGTAAATAGGGCTTTAATTTGCTGCGCATGGGTGTAATGTTTTGTCTTGAATATTATGGTTGCTCTCAGAAACGTCACCCGTGTCCTACTCTTCATGCATTTCTTTACCAAATTTATTTGATAATTGCAGTAGACCATCTTTTCGAAGCAAGAGAGTTAACTGACTTTAAAAGTCCAGTATCACCCTTGCCGAATTATGCTGGAATTCCTGGGCTCGATCGTAGCGCCACCAGTTATGTCCCTTCTATGCCTTTCCTATGGACCAATCAGATTCCATCTCTCGTATCACACGCATTAAAATGGAAAGAAATCGGCAGGACAGTTTACGAACCGGATTTCGATTCGGTTTCGGGATTGTGATTGGATTATGCATAGATTTTTTTACTTATCCTGCTTTTACTCCTTAATTACTGCTTGTTCTTGACAGAGAAAAGAGCTGTGTGAAGGTCTTTGCTTGAAGAAAATGTTCCAACCCTGTCACCCTGTCACGCAGCTCCCACGTGACCAAAGCCTTAATTGTACATCTCAATGCCTCAAGGGTCATCTATGTAAAGACTGTCTCCTGCGTTCCCTCACAGCTTTCAGACGGTACCTCCGTGTGTCCAAGAAACGGGGAAGCAACAGGCCAGGAAACACTGGTGCAAGATATCTGACCTATCCGAGAATTCGCCCTCTACAAGATGGGCGGCAACATCCCAGCCTCCACTATTACCATTATGTCAGGCCCCATGATCTCAGTCTCTATCCAGAGCACCATGACAACCACTACTGCCTCTATCTTTACGGCGGCAACCACCACCATGACTCCACCGTTGCGCTCTCATATCTAACGGCGCCCCCGCCTACGACACAGACGCTCATGATAAGCTCCTCTCTCCTTCAGTACATACAGTACTAACAGGCCACGTAGACGCCGACGCCTTTTGTACCAGCGCCTATACAGACGCCTTTTACAAGCGCCACCAATAGCGCCTCTGCAGACGCCTCAACAAGCGCCTATAAAGATGGCGCCTATCCAGCAAACCGCGCCTATACAGCGCCTTTGCCACCGCCTCGTCGGACGCCTATACATACGCCATCTCTATCATCGGGCATGAATGTCCCTTCTACCTCTCCTTAATCTGTGGACTCGGCTTCCCCGAGTACGTCTTCACTTTGGAGGGAGAGTCGGTCGTCTCGTTGGGTTCCTCGATCTAGGAACCGCACCCCTGTTCGCAGACGCTCCAGTGGCTACCGTTCCGACTCCTCTGAGGGCGCCTTCGTCCCTTGTAATGACCACACCCCCACGGACGGCGAGTCCGTCTTGGCGTGGACCAGGTTGCAGACTGGTTGGCTGATAGACTTAGGGACAATTGCTCCCTTTCGTGGCCTAGAGGTCCATAGCAAGCCATCCCTTCGGATCCTACCTCGCTCCCACCGGACCAACTGATCAAGGACATGATCTCGGCCCTTGATGAGGACTTCAGCAAGTTCTCTCTTATTCCGTCTCTCAGGCCCCCACGTTATAAACGAGGCGACTACCCAGCTCATGCTCTCCAGGTCGCGGACCATGCTCATGCCTTAGATTAGGATCTACACCGCATGACTGGGTCTAACGGCTCCACCGCAGTACGAGTTTCTGACAGTAAACTCGCCTACATGAAACCATGATTCGCCACACTCTCAAGCCTCTCTCAATGATGGCGTCGTCCTCCAGAGCCATTCTCCGGGACTCGTCGGAGGATAACCCTCATAGGATAGACCACCTGACCACCGTCGTATCCTACCTCCTGCAAAAAGTCGAGCATATGCGCTCTCATATGCACGCCGCCCTGGTTGAACTCACAACCACGAGGCGCCTGGGCTACCTTTCTCTGTCAGATTCGGACCCAGAGTTCAAGAGAGATCTTCTGCGTCAACCATGGTCCTCCTCTGACCTGTTTAACGGACAGATCTCCAAGACGCACTCCTGAGTCTCAGCCTTCGCCCGAGCCTTCATGGCCTTGGCTAGGGTGTCACAGCCAGCCTTCTCTAAGGCGTCCCAGTCTGGCGCATACCAGACACGACGCAACACCCTCCACCCCGGGGCGGGGCTCCACCTCAACCTCTCGGGTCAGAGGCAGACTGCAGGGACTTCAAGTGAATCGCCAGACATGCACGACTGGGACCTCCCACACCCAGGCGTCCATGTTGTCGACACTCCATTAGGAGGGAGACTGAGTCGATTCTGTCAGAACTGGGACATGCTGAGGGACCCAAATGTCACCAACATCATCTGACATGGGTACAAGCTGGCGCTTATAGACGACCAACCGCTCACATCGTCGCCTTTAGCGGACACCTATCCCCTACTCAACATCAGCTAATAAGCCAGAACATCTCTGTGCTGTTGGACAAGAAAGCGATAGAGGTCATACTAGCCCAAGCCATAACACCGGGCTTCTATTCACCTATCTTACTAGTCCCCAAGAAGGACTCGGACAAACACTGGATGATCATAAACCTCGCTGCTTTAAAAAAACACAACCTGGCGCATCCACCTTACTTCAGGATGACCAAGCTCAGGCTGCTGCGATCATGGATCCAGGCACAGGATGTACTCTTCAGCCTGGATATCGAGGACGCCTACCTACATGTCCCAATACATCCCGACGACAGGAAATTCCCCCGCTTCATCTTTATGGGAGTCCATTACCTATGGGCGGTCCTCCCATTTGGAATTTCCGACAGCCTCATACCTCCATCTCCGGGACATTCAGTTCGAGACATACATAGACGATTGTCTCCTGAATCATTGGGACACGTTGCTCTACCTTGCTCCAGGGACTTCTCCCTCTGGCTCCAGTTGGGTTGGAAGATCAACCTCAGAAGTCAGTGGTTGACACCCTTAAATCCCCTTCAGTTCATCAGGGGCCTCTTCCAGACGCACCTCGACCTCCTCACTGTACCCAGGGACCGGTTGGGGCGCATGCAATCGCACCTGATTCCTGCCCTCCACCTACCACACACATTGCGCCAATGGCATGTCCTCCTTGGCCTCCTAACCTCAGCGCAGGACTTGACCTACAGCGGAAGGTGCCAACTGCACCCAGTTCAGATGGTCCTGGGTTCCTACATCAGACCCTACACCAGGGCCCCTTGGTATCCATCGTCCTCCCGGATCACCTCAAGCAGCATCTCCGGTGGTGGACGTTGGAATCAAATGTCTTCAGCCTGGCTCTCCATCTGGACGGACAACATAACCGTCGTCTGATGCCTATGGAACCAGGGAACGACTCAATCGACCTCGCTCCTTTCAACAGACGTTCCAATTCTTTCGCCTAGTGGATCATCTAGGGATCCAGTTCCAGGTTCAACACATTCCGGGTGGCCGAAACATCCTAGCAGATGCACTATCAGGCAAGGCAAGGGATCCCCACATGGTCTCCCAAACATAGACCTATTCGCCACTAGCCAGAACTACCAGATACCGACCTACACCCGGTTCTAGATCCCCTGGCTTGGGCAGTCAACACCTTCAACGTCCCTTGGGAAGGAGTATGCGTAAGCTTTTCCGCCACCTGTATTCCCTTTCAGGGTCGTCCAGAAGATCAGATACACAGAACCTCGATCTGATCTATGGTCAAGCCCTGGTGGCCGGTGAGGGCTTGGTTTGTCAACCTCAGAGAACTAGCCGACGCCAACTCGCTGCCACTCCCAGATTGGCCAAACCTGCTGATCCACCCTCACAGTCTTCCTACTGTTGCTCGCTACAGGAGACGATGTCAGTGAGCTACACGCCTTGGACGTCACGTGCATCCGCTTTGAGTATGGAAAACAGGGAGCCGTGCATCTTGGACTGTGCTGGGACTTCATTGCCAAGAATCAACTCCCAGCGGAATTGGACCCCCCAAGCTCCAACAACCCGAATGAGACCTTGACGCTACACAACAACTGCTCTCTACGTACCATGATAGACGTTGCATTTAAGGATGTGCAAGGCATGCACAACTTTGGTCTGATAGTAGTGGCTCAACAGGTCACTACTACTACCCGCCACTGACCTCGCCTCCAGTCCAGAGCCGGTCTTTTGACCTCAACTGGCTTAATGCCTTGGACTAGAAGGTTCATGCCCCACTTGCATACGGCTCGGCACTCCAATCTAAAACTGTAACTTGAGAGGGTTATCGTCCATGGCTGCATAGTACCTTGACACAACGCATACCTGACTTTTCCCATCCATGAAATGGTCATTGAGGCCGACCATACAGCCGAGGATGGGCTGAGGGAACAGAGTCAGGAAAAAGAGATGAAAGTCCACATCTGATCGAAGGTATGCCCTCTGGTAATTCCTTCAGATAAAGATGCATAAAGGAGTAATGCAGGATAAGTATACAAACATACAAGTTAAAAATCGAGTAAAATCCTGGCTATTTATTATAATTGTATACTTACCCTGCATTACTGCATCTAAAGAAACCTACTCATCGCAGAGATGCCTACCCACGATGCCCTCGACTCCAGAGTAATGTTAGGATCTGTGACGTCACTTTCTTTGGTGACGTTGGAGCTGCTTGACAGGGTTGGCCTCTCAGCTAGTTAGAACAACTTCTTCAAGCAAAGACCTTCACACAGCTCTTTTCTCTGTAAAAAACACGCACTAATATTCATTAGGGAGTACTGCAGGAAAAGTATTCAACTATAAAAAATATCTCGGATTTTAGTCCAGCCAAAATGTAACTCCAGACTTGTTAGTCCAGCCAAAATGTAACTCCATAATACCAGCCTAGTTCGGCAAAGGTGGAAACTGGTCTTTTACAGTCAGTTCACTCACTTGCCTTTGGAAGATGGCAGTAGACAACCCTGGTGTATGTGAGAAATTGGAGGCTTGGATTAAACGCTTTCATTGAGCAAACTTTAAGAGGCTAATGCTGGGATAATACTAGTATTCTAAACATTCAAAATATTTCAAATTTCATGAAATGTAAAAATTATTATTGCAAGGTCCTAGGATTAATTATTTAGGAGTCTATGAGCTGTGAACCATGCCATGAACCCAAGTTTAATATACCAGTATATAAGATAGCTACGCTATAAATCCTAAAGAACAATGAAGAATGAAGCGTATTTGTATACTTCTGCATTAAGTTACATCATATAATATTCCCACACTTGAACAGTGAATGGAATATATGACAGGGGCCTTGCAGTACTGATAAAATGTTTTTTGTTAAATGTTAAGTTGTAGCATAATGGTGCAATGGCGGGTTATAAGAGATGACAAATCTGCATCATTGACTAAACAAAAGAAAACGTGGCCCATTTGTATGATACATTAAATAAAGAAAGTGAAGCAACTTTATTTTTTATATTAAACTGTGGAGTTGGTTGTTGAACATCATCGTTGATTTGTTGCCAGGTGGTCCAGCCAGGGTCATCATTGTTGCCAACTCGAAGTACGTCAACATCTCCACTGGGCAGATGGTACCGGGGACTGTCGGAGAAGGTGAGTAAATGAGTACAAGTTACAGCCCACACCCACAGCCTCTAAACATTAGGGTAAGGGGTAGGAGAAGGGGGGAAGGGAAGCTTTACCAAATGAAAAAGGTCTTTCAAGCCAATGATCTAAATGTCAAACCCCCAAACCCCAAGGGCCCCGTGGGACTGTATCCCCAGCACCCTATTGCTAATCGTAGATGCAAACCCATGGGATATTTGGAACCGATGGAGAGTTCACGTCAGAACCGTTTGAGGTGACTTGGTGGATCGTTGCTCATAATCCCAGGCCATCGATTGACTTCATTATATACAGGCCTTCTTCATACAGCTAGAATATTGCTGAGTGCGGCATTGGACAATAAACACGCATACGAAGGGAATTGTCAAGGCATTTGTACAGCCGTGGTGCACAGGGTAGCTTAAATATCGTTTTTATTTTGGAAACAGAAGAAACTAGTGAAAGACAGACAAAATACAATTCCTAAGTTACGAAATAAACATTTGATAAATTATCTAGAATCTGGCCAATTGTCGACAATTTCATGAACATCAACTGGGTCGCGTTGCTTAGGTACAGGGCTGTCCAGCGCTATATATAGTTGTGTTATATAATACCACGCTGTGGCTAAGTGATGATGTGTGAAAGTCAGCAACTCTGGGAGGTGCTTATTAGCAGTGTTGAAAGGCAAAAAAAAATTGCGGCCAAATACACCGTCGATCACGACAACAACAAACATTGGAGTGTGTCTCTCTCATAATAAAAAAAAAGATTTAAAAAGGCAAAAGCTATGTTCTGTATGGTATTCTACTTCGTAACATACACATACGTCTACATGTCCAGATACAGCGGAAGGTAGCGCACTGTTGCACTTATCCAGGTTGTTGTCATGCTTCCATTTTTTGCGAACACCTGGTGTCATCACTGATTTTCGGGTATTCACTGGTATCACTGGTATTCTCTTGCATTGACGTTTTATGTTTAAACAAGGCAACCCGGGTATCATACATTTTGAGTAGACAGGACAGGGCGCCAGTTGCCATGAATAACATCACAATCCAAGGAGGTAACTCTTGACTGATTATTGTGGAATGAAAGGTCTATTTAGCTGTACATAAGTTACCCATCTCAGCAACGTAGTTAGTATTAGTATACTTATATCCCTGTAGTTTACTTCCAATATATTCAGTATTCACGCAGGACTTTGTTTCTTCACAGATACTCTCGAACTCCGCCTTATTGAAGCAAAGAAAGTGTTTGTTGAAACAGAAATCTACAGAACGATGAAGCAAAAAGTAAAGCAGTTTGGTTATGTGACCCTTTATGGTGCCTCTGGAGAAGGGAAGACAACGATGGCTCTGATGTTGAGTTTACGTTATAGAAACCGAGGTTACCAGGTCGTGTTTGTGGACAGCATTGAGAAGTTTGACTTGGACAGCTGCCTCAGTTCTACACCAAGAGTATTTCTTATCATTGATGACATGTTTGGCACTGCTGGCTTGTCCACTAATGTTCCACTAATTAAATCATTTCTAAACAATCTTATTCTCCATATAGACCACTGCAAACAGTCCCGTGAACAGATGCAGTCAGTTAGGCAAGATGGAGGTAAATCCAGTCATGATGACAAAAGAAAAGGTCACACAAAGGACATTCGTGTCATTTTCACATCAAAGTCATACAACTTCCATGACGGACTTGCACAACTGCACTTTAGTTGTTTCCCACTGTTTGGGGAACAAACAATTATGAATATAACTTTACATGATGTCCACTGTCTTTCCCCAGCAGAGAAACAGGAAATATATGAGAGACATAAGAGCATGCTAGATGAATGCTCCAGAGATTACCTACCTGAATACAGAGATTTGGAAACAGATTCGAAACTATTTGGATTTCCACTTATATGTAAATTTGCTTCCTTTTCAAAAAATCTCAGAAAGCTTTTCAAGGAACCCTTGTCTTATTTGAGGGAGGAACTCACTGACATAATTAATTCTAAGAATGATAGATCTGGTGTGTTAGTTCTGATGTTATTGTGTGAAGACAGATTAAAATTGACAAAGTTAGAAAGCGAGGATGAGGACCAGGACTTGGATACGAAAGTCAAACATGTGATACGTCTCATGCCTACCGCTACACGCTCTGGGATGTGTCAAGCTGCAAGAAGTTTCCGAGGTACATACTTCACAAGAGGAGACACTGTAGGCTTTGCTCACTCTTCAATCTATGATGCTTGTGCCTGTGTCTTATATAACATCAATCCAAGTTTTGTTTTGAAGCATTGCAGTGAAGACTTTCTATACGAGCGTGTACAACAAGAAACAGTACAAGAAACAAAAGTTGATGAACATCTTCACGTGATTTCCGTTTCCGAAGAATATCATGATCTTCTTACCACACGGCTTGCACATTCTCTGAAGCAAGGACATTTTTCTAAGTCAGTGACACATCCAATTCTGAAGCAAGACAAACTTTCTGAGCAACTTCTTGAAAGACTACACGTTGATGGGATGAAACATGATTCCACAGGCAATGCCTGGTTTCACCAAAGAGAAAAAGGAAAATATTTTTTGTATTGGGCTGTTCTTGGACATAATCCATATTTGGTTACAAATGTTGAGAACCAAACTGGAGAAGTGTTTACACAAGACGAGATCAGAGAGGGTTTGGGAGGTTGTGCCCAAGTAAACAACCTGACATTACTTCAATGGCTACTCTCCAGGAGTGATGAGCATGACCGGATTAGCAGACTGAACAAGCTCATGTTGTCAGCAGCAGAAAATGGAAGTACTGAAACACTGTTGTATCTGCTGAATGAAGGAGCAAATCCCCATACTCGTGACTCGATGATGCAAAACATCTTCCATTTGGTATGCAAATCACGACATGAAAACACACTTCGTGCACTGCTAAATGTATCGGTAGACAAACATGCTATAGACAGTGTTGATGTTGATGGCCACACTCCTCTTATGATTGCAGCAGTAACAGGGTCAGAAGAGTGCTTTCAGCTGTTAACACCATTCTCAAATACTGGTGTTCAAGACACGTACGGAAACAGCCTAATTAACCTTGCTTGTCACGGAGGAAACATTGCCATTGTTAGACACCTGCTACCATCCTTTGACATCAACAAAACTGGAGTGAAGGGATGGACACCGATAATGGTTGCAGCTGTCGCTGGACAGAAAGGTGTGTTTGATCTCCTTGAATCAGCGGGGGCGGACCTCTCTCTTGCTTCGACATCAGGTCACAGTTTACTTCACCATGCCTGTCAGGGAGGCAACATGGCTATTGTACAACATCTGCTGTCAGATTCTAACATCAACCAAAGGGGAATGCATGGATGGACACCGATAATGGTTGCAGCTGTCAAAGGACACAAAAGCGTGTTCGACTTCCTTGAATCAGCGGGGGCGGACCTCTCTCTTGCTTCGACATCAGGTCACAGTTTACTTCACCTTGCCTGTCAGGGAGGCAACATGACTATTGTACAACATCTGATGTCAGATTCTAACATCAACCAAAGGGGAATGCATGGATGGACACCGATAATGGTTGCTGCTGTCAATGGACACAAAAGCTTGTTTGACTTCCTGAAATCAGCGGGGGCGGACCTATCGCTGGTTGATACAGATGGGGATAGTTTACTTCATCTTGCCTGTCAGGGAGGCAACATGACTATTGTACAACATCTGATGTCAGAATCTAACATCAACCAAAGGGGAATGAATGGATGGACACCGATAATGGTTGCTGCTGTCAATGGACACAACCGTGTGTGTAACTTCCTGGAATCAGCGGGGGCGGACCTCTCTCTTGCTTCAACATCAGGTCACAGTTTACTTCACCTTGCCTGTCAGGGAGGCAACATGACTATTGTACAACATCTGATGTCAGATTCTAACATCAACCAAAGGGGAATGCATGGATGGACACCGATAATGGTTGCTGCTGTCAATGGACACAAAAGCTTGTTCGACTTCCTCGAATCTAAGGGGGCGGACCTATCGCTGGTTGATACAGATGGGGATAGTTTACTTCATCTCGCCTGTCAGGAAGGCAACATGACTATTGTACAACATCTGATGTCAGATTCAAACATCAACCAAAGGGGAATGAATGGATTGACACCGATAATGGTTGCTGCTGTCAAAGGACACAAAAGCGTGTTCGACTTCCTTGAATCAGCGGGGGCGGACCTCTCTCTTGCTTCGACATCAGGTCACAGTTTACTTCACCTTGCCTGTCAGGAAGGCAACATGACTATTGTACAACATCTGATGTCAGATTCAAACATCAACCAAAGGGGAATGAATGGATGGACACCGATAATGTTTGCTGCTGTTAAAGGACACAAAAGCGTGTTTGACTTCCTGGAATCAAATGGGTCGGACCTATCGCTGGTTGATACAGATGGTAATAGTTTACTTCACCTTGCCTGTCAGGGAGGCAACATGACTATTGTACAACATCTGATGTCAGATTCAAACATCAACCAAAGGGGAATGAATGGATGGACACCGATAATGGTTGCTGCTGTCAAAGGACACAAAAGCGTGTTCGACTTCCTTGAATCAGCGGGGGCGGACCTCTCTCTTGCTTCGACATCAGGTCACAGTTTACTTCACCTTGCCTGTCAGGGAGGCAACATGACTATTGTACAACATCTGATGTCAGATTCAAACATCAACCAAAGGGGAATGAATGGATGGACACCGATAATGGTTGCTGCTTTCAATGGACACAAAAGCTTGTTTGACTTTCTGAAATCAGCGGGGGCGGACCTATCGCTTGTTGATACAGATGGGGATAGTTTACTTCATCTTGCCTGTCAGGGAGGCAACATGGCTATTGTTCAACATCTGATATCTAATTCTAACATCAACCAAAGGGGAATGAATGGATGGACACCGATAATGGTTGCTGCTGTCAATGGACACAAAAGCGTGTTCAACTTCCTGGAGTCAAAAGGGGCGGACCTCTCTCTTGCTTCGACATCTGGTGATAGTTTACTTCAATGTGCCCAAAAGGGAGGCAACATGACTATTGTTCAACATCTGATGTCAGATAAACTATAGAGTTGTCCCGGAAGTGAGACGCTCCAAAGCAGGCACAAGTCTCTAACGTATACAAGCTTTAAAAAAGATGTATGGTATCACCTGGAAACTGTGCTTTGAGTAGGATTCGCCCCTATGCAGTTTTATCAACAAAAAACAAAAGAATATGGAGATGGTGTAACATTCATTCTGTTAAAAGCTGCCATCAGGATTAAATATTGATAGAAACTTTTAGAAAAGTACTAGATCTATAGCTTGGTGTACTAGATGTATAGCATGGTGTACTAGATGTATAGCAGTGTGTACTAGATGTATAGCACTGTGTACTAGATGTATAGCATTGTGTACTAGATGTATAGCATTGTGTCATAGATGTATAGCATTGTGTGCTGGATGTATGCAGTGTGTGCTAGATGTATAGCATTGTGTGCTAGATGTATAGCATTGTGTACTAGATGTATAGCATTGTGTGCTAGATGTATAGCATTGTGTACTAGACGTATAGCATTGTGTAGTAGATTGATAGCATTGTGTGCTTGGTCTAAGCATGGGGTACTAGATTTATAGCATTGTGTGCTGGATGTAAGCATTGTGTAGTAGATTTATAGCATTATGTACTAGATGTATAGCATTGTGTACTAGATTTATAGCATTGTGTACTAGATGTATAGCCGTGCGTACTAGATGTATAGCATTGAGTGCTAGATGTATGACATTGTGTAGTAGACGTATAGTATTGTGTACTAGATGTATACCATTGTGTATTAGATGTATACCACTGTGTACTAGATGTATACCATTGTGTACTAGATGTATACCATTGTGTACTAGATGCACACCATTGTGTATTAAATATACACAACTGTGTTCTAGACGTACATGTATACCATTGTGTACGAGATGTATATATCTCTGTATTAGATGTATACCATTGTGTACTAGATGAATACTACTTTGTACAAGATGCATACCACTGTGTACTAGATGTATACCACTGTGTACTAGATGTATACCACTGTGTTCTAGATATATGCAACTAAAGGTATACCATTGAGTACTAGATGTAAACTACTGTGTACAAGATGCATACCGCTGTGTACTAGATGTATACCATTATGTTCTAGATGTATACCAATGTGTATTAGATGTATACTACTGTGTACAAGATGCATACCGATGTGTATTAGATGTAAGCCACTGTGTACTAGATGTATACCACCATTGTACAACTGCTGTCAAGAGATTATGTCAATTCTGTGAACTTTATTACGTTGTTTACCTTCTGGAATATGTATTGTGGCTGAACAAGAATGTATCTTGCTTGAATGCCCACTCGGGTAATGTATTAGTTGGAGTGTGTCGGGTATACTATATTCAGTCATATGTAAACTGTTGTATAACGTTGTCTACCGTGGAATATGTATTGTGACTAATGTTGTACAAGTATGTTTCTTGTGTAATGATTCTCTATCACGTTCATCTGATGTTCTTCACATGTATGTACTTCTACAGCTGATAGTAAAGATGCTCTAATAACTGAAGGTAGGCATTCTATTGTTGACTGATTATATAAAGATTCTGTGGCTCTCTAATAAACTGACTGTTTATTCACTCACGTCTTGTGTTGTTGTGTGGGTTGGTCATGTACAGTGGTACCTCTGTAAAGCCAACTGATTCCCCAACTCTCGCTTTTTATTAAAAAGAGGGGCTGTCGGGTAGCCTAGTGGTTAAACATCCGTAAAACATGAAATAAATAAAAATGGGAATTTAATTTGAATAGCATAATAATTGGCCGTATTACATGTACAGACAAACATTGTTGCCAACACAACCCTTTGTTTAAGCGAGTGAGTGAGTATGGTTTTACGTCGCTTTTATATATTTTATATATTTAAGAAATATCATGGCGGGGGACACGCCGAAGACCCGGGTTCGATTCCCGACAGTGGTACAATGTGTGAAGCCCATTTCTGGTGTCCCCCGCCGTGATATTGCAGGAAGATTGCTAAAAGCGGGGTAAAACCAAAATCACTCACTCACTTGTTACAAAGATTCGGTGAAGCACGGCATTAAACTTTCTCCCAATTCACCGTTAATTCTAGCGGCAAACGAACAAGTTACAGACAGTGTTGATGCTTATAGCCACACCGATCAAATGGTTGGCGCAATTACAATGTTTAGAGGCGTGCTTCAAGCTGACTCTGGTATCAAATCTTGATGTTCAAGACACGTATGCTTGTCAAGGAGGAAACACTGCCATTGTTAGGCAACTGCTGCTATCATTTAGCATCAACAAAACAGGAATGTAAGGATCGACACCAATAATGGTTGCAGCGTTCCGTGGACGCAAAGGCGTATTTGACCGCCTGAAATCAGAGGGTGGACCTCTTGCTGGTTGATATATCTGGTGCTGCTTTGCTTCATCTTGCCTGTCGGGGAGGCAACATGGCTAGTGTCCTGTTCATTTCTAACATTAAACATAGAGGTATGAATGAATGGATGGACGCCAATAATGGTTGCAACTGTCCATGGACACAAAAGCGTGTTTAACCTCTGGAATCAAAATGGGCAGACCTTTCGCTGGTTGGTACAAATGGTGATAGTTTTCTTCATCTTGCCTGTGAGGGAGGTAACACAGATTCTAAGAACATCCATAGAGGAATACATTGATGGGCACCGATAAGTAAGGCTGCTGTTAATGGATCCAAAAGCATGTTTGTCCTCCTGGCGTTAAACTGGGCGGACCTCTCGCTTGCTGTTACACAAGCGAGGCGTTAGCCGAGCCCAATATTTTTCTGCTTATCTGATATGACGACGTATGCGGAAACTAAAGACACCATAAAGAATTTATCATGCCGAAAAGTTTACAGTCTCTGGGATTCATATCGCACGTGTCATGTCAAAATAAATTTTTTGTTACTTACAACTTTACGCTTAGGGTCAAAGGGAGCCTACTCTTCAAACCTTAGAGGCCAAACCTTGTAGACAATTTTCACTTTAATCAATAAAGTCACGAACCTGATCTAAAAACAGCTTAATATCATTGCACATCACAATTTATGATAGCAAAGCACAAAACAGTGTCAAATAACGAATGTCGGTACCAGAAGTCCCATGTGAAATATGTGAGGTGGGTGTTGGAAAATCCAAGATGGCTGTGACTGACGGTATACTGTGTCATATTAGGTCAGTATCAACCATCTTGGATTTTTATTGACGGTATACGGGCCCATGTGGCGTCAGTAGTTCTACTCTCTGATTGGTCAATCTCACTTTGAGGCATAATAAATTCTGATATGCGTCAGGGTAATTGATCTTTCCATTGTTTATGTAAATTGTATTAGAATCAATAATGCAACTTTGATGATGCTTTTGTGTCTCTGTTTGATGTTCTATGTGCTATTGTGAACTTTCCTTTTGTTTTAGGTCCATTGAATGGGTATAGACAGACAGACAGACAGACAGACAGACAGTTTATTCAGTAGAAAGGCCATAGGCCCATAATACAGACAATGTTTGACTGCATGAACTGCGCATGCCAATGAAAGTAATCGATTTAAGTTTCTCATAGTGGTTGGACTTTATATAAATATCAAAACACAAAGTTTTCTGATGAGATAATTTCAGTTTTAGATGTTTCAGTTTGAGACTTCATATACTATTTAAGATACATAGTTCTTAGGGCTGAGCAACGCTCACAAACAAACAAAACATTAAATTCATCTTCAATGAAAGATCCACCATTTTCTATACAATATTTACATAATCGTTCAGTGTATGGAACATTTGTGTATCTCCCCAAATCAACTGCAAGTTTAAAACTAGTCATACGTATTCTCAGATGTACTGGAATGGGGAGTGTAAGATATTTTTCTACATTTAATAGGGATTTAAATGTTTATAATAAAAGGTATCAGATATACTATTGATAGAACTACACCATGATTGTTATTGAAGGTTATCAAATAATCTTTGTTTAAAAAGATGAATAAATATCTTCACATTTCAAGCATCTTGTGTTAACCATACATATCCAAATCCTAATTTAAACAATATCTAAGAAGCGCATTCAAATATGAAAACTTTGTAGCATATATCTGCCTGCTTGAAGTGATCCCTGTGTTGATATGACGTACACGTGTGCATACATATGCGTTTTACATCTGTTAAAGAGGAAGGACTGTGAAAGTAAAAATATGTCACAGATTCAAAACAAGTTGTGATTGATATAAAAGTGAGTGGCTGAGTAAGTTTGGTTTTACGCCACTTTTTGCAATATTCCAGCAATATCACGACGGGGGACGGGCTCCACATATTGTACCCATGTTGGAAATCGAACCTGGGCCCTCGTCGTGTATTTTTGCGAGTTTCATGTAAAGTGGGCATTGAGGTGCGTTTCATGTAAAGTGGGCACTGAGGTGAGTTTCATGTAAAGTGGGCACTGAGGTGAGTTTCATGTAAAGTTGGTACTTAGGTGAGTTTCATGTAAAGTGGGTACTTAGGTGAGTTTCATGTAAAGTGGGCAGTGGGGTGAGTTTTATGTAAATCGGTTATTGAGGTGAGTTCCATGTAAAGGGGCACTGATTCGAAACAATTTGTGATTTATATAAAAGTGTGTGGCTGAGTAAGTTTGGTTTTACGCCATTTTTAGCAATATTCCAGCAATATCACGGCGGTGGACACCAGAAATAGGCTTCACATATTGTACCAATGTTGGAAATCAAACCTGGGTCCTCGTCGTGATGAGCTAACGCTTTAACCAGAAGGCTACCCGACCGCCCCGTAAAAAACCCAGAAGTAAATTAAGGGAAAGATGAAGTGATATCAGGCATATTGAACCGTGGAGATTCCGGGTCAGGATAAGGTTCACAGCACACCATGCTAACCTTCATAGTAAGAGCTGACTAAACCATGAGATGTTAAAAACGGTTAAGACCATCATGATCTGTTCTACATACCCTTCCATGGACAAACCCATGTTATCTCTACAAGTGATGGAGATTGGCTATA